TTTTTTTTTTTTTTTTTTTTAATCTACTGCAGGTTGTGGAAACATTTTACACAAGTAAAGGATGGAAAAGATTAGTGAATTTTTCAAGATAAATGATGTGCACCTTTGTCATTATTCTGCAATGTGTATGCCTAGTTGATGAATTTTATCATAAAATGATGAAATAGTGAATATGATTTAGTATTTATTGAGCAAAGGAAAGACAGGGTTAGCTTACTGGTTCTGGTATGAGGTACCCTGAGAACAAACTTAGTAGCGTGTAGGAGAAACTTGCGAATATTGCTGCCACTTGGGAAGTTGGAGTCAATGAAACAAGCATCATGCCTAAGTATTTGAAGTATAGCAACGTACAAAACATGGTGTAGAGGTACCAAAACACTTTGTAGGCTGACTTATAGAAGTTTATTGCTGGATATGTAATCATCGAAAACAAAACTGCTTCAAGGAAGATGTATGGAATTTCAATAATCACCTGCATAAAAACAGTTTACGTCAGGACTTGCAAGCTTTAAGATCTAATATTGTAGACCTTATGGAATGCTAGGAACTGCTTCAGAGATCTTTCCAAACCTGAGACAATGAATATGCCCATGAGGAGTACATTCCAGCAAACCTTTCTCGGTAGAAAACAGTCCTCTGAGTCCCTACGAATGGCATCACAGACGAACAACTTGACATCCCAATGATTATCATGAAAATATAAACTGATCCCATTATGTTGAGAAGATCCTGTTCAGTACCTCTTGAGAAAGAAGAAAAATTCAGTGTGTTAGCTGGTGAGTTTGTTACCTATGACTCCAAGCAATTAGTGTTTCAATAACTACAACTTTGGAACACTCATAAATTTTTTTAAACAGAAAAGTACAATTATTTGGTGAGCAAAAATATCAACATGAAAAATATCATGTAAACAGCTTACATTTTCTGTCCTTTCTGCCAGAGTAGCACTCCGTATAACAAAGATGCTGCAGTAACCACTGATAGGCGTGCAAAGTTATATGTGGGACTTCTCCAATAGGATAAGTGTTGTTTCCAGAGGCATGCTTTGAATTGCTCCCATCCGTTTTGTGGAAAGCGAGTTGGGAAACACAATTCCTCAGAAGCATCCGCTGGAAGGCTCAGTTCTTTGACCAGTTCTTTGTTTCTCCTGGAGAGAGAACTCATAAATTGCTTGGTATCAATTGACTATGACATGTAGCCATGAAATCTGTTTTCTAAAGGTCTAATTTTTCTGTAATCCGTTTACTGGTCTCAAAAACTAATGATGAAAAAAAAAAAAAAAAAAAACCTTGTAATCATCACAGTACAGAGTTTTTGGCACACTTATCATGGTGGATTTACCTGTACAGATGGGATTCTTTGTAAAGAGATGCAAAATCTACTCGAAGTTGAGCTTCTGCGGTTGGATTTGTGACCTCTAACATCCATGTTGCTGGATTGTAATTTTCTTTAATTTTTGGCACGCCAGGTATACCCTGCAGAAAGGTCGCTCATTATTATGGTTTCTTATTATTGTGAGATTTTAATGAGTCAAAAAAAAGTTGCTACAGTGGAGTCAATGTTTCTTTAACTCTGGTTTTCGAGATGTTCTTTATTGCTATATATCAAATGTGATTAATAAGGAGAAATATGAAACAACAGGAAATGATGCAAACATGCTAAGAGCCAAAATGAAACTTGCATATTGTTTTTATCTTTTCAATTCTTACCTCAAAGTATTCAACAAGCTTATTTGAATGCTGACCCAGCTCCCCATAATATATTATGCAACCTCCTCTTTTCATCAGAATTAGCTGTAGGAGACACAGACATTAGATGAAACAAGAACATGGCACCTAAATATATTTTAAAACATTTGAGTGATATGACTGTTGCAAAACTACTGTATTTCTAGATTTTTCATATGGTGGATGATGCACTACAACTCAAGGACATCTAATGAGTGAACATCCAACGAGAATTTCTTTGTTGCATGATGGTTGCCAGCCCCAGCTGATGAAGGTCTCATGTTCAACATTTTACTTGAGTGATTATACAAGTCAGAATCTTGCTGATTTAATTGTGCCAGTGAAATTAAGATATAAATAGTAGTATATTAATGTATATGAACATGTCACTTAGTTACCTCATCAAATGCCTCAAATATGTCAATACTTGGCTGATGAATGGTGCAAACTATTGTCCTGTTTGTCTGAACAATATTCTTCACAACACGCATGACAATTGCAGCTGCTCTGGCATCTAAACCAGAGGTGGGTTCATCCATAAATATTATGGATGGATTGGAAATGAGCTCAACTGCTATGGTTAGCCGTTTTCGTTGTTCGGGTGATAAACCACTTAGACCTGGGATGCCAACTAAAGAATCTTTTATTCCATCCAGCTCAATCATTTGAAGAACCTCTGCCACAAAGTCCTATAAGATAGGTAAGTCAAGTGAGGAATTTTGAAGCAACTTACTGTACAACAGTTAGCAGGTTTCAGCAATTATGCAAGTTCTAGACTCTAGATGCATTTTTAGCGAACATAATGAAAGACAAAGTTTCACTTTATGCTCTCTTTAGCAATATCAAACGAGAATATCTCAATATCTTTTAGTAGTGCAACTGGATGTTCTATTTCATACAAAATTGTTTTCTTCTACTTTTTATCATATCTGACGTTTAATTCGCTCGGTAAGTGTGAATGTTATTTGGTGATTAGATCCTCTGTGTTGCACCAAGGTTCAAAACATCTTACCAGTCTTTTCTGCTTATCTAGCTGCATTGGCAAGCGTAACCAAGCTGAGTACATCACAGATTCCTCTATTGTTAGCTGTGGAGAATGTATATCAGTTTGCTCACAGTAACCAGATATTCTAGCAAATGTCTCCTGGACCTTGGGGTAACCCCCAATTTTTATCTCCCCTTCAATATAACCACCAGTTTTTCTTCCACAAAGAACATCCATCAGCGTAGTTTTCCCAGCTCCACTAACTCCCATCAAAGCGGTAAGAATTCCAGGCCTAAATGTGCCAGTAATATCTTGAAGAAGCTGTAGTCTTTTTTCTGGAAACCCTTGCTCTCTCAATTTCTGGAATTACCAAATACATGGAAGATATTAGAATCTTTTCTAGTTATACTTCAATATTGTTGCGAAATGTTTAATGAATAAAATGCGTGTGTACCTTGGGAGTATCAACAAAGTATTGCACATTCTCAAATGTAAGTGTTTTGGGCTCAAAAGGTAACACCATCCCTGTAGTTTAGAAATGTCAGTGTTGTTTTACAGGACCAAAAATACACGGGCTTTCTTATGCTATAATTAATTCTGTAGATATAACATTCTGCTTCAATGGTTTTTTGTGCAAGACAATTACTGTAGATTCTCACCTGTGGTCTTTGTGTCTGTAACAGCTTCTAAAGGATGAGTCGATTGTGGTTCTTTCTCTTGATTTGCATTGGTTGAAACTTCTATTGCTTTTAGATAAGAGAACCTGTCATGGGAGATGGTAGCTCTAGATCTTCCTGGAGCTGCTTAAATTAATTTTCACCGTAGACAGGTTAGCAGTTTGAATAATTAATCTTAGCACTTTATATTGTCATTCTTTTTCTGAGTATGTGGATGTCAGTAAAACTTACGTTTTAAATAACTCAGTGCAAAGGTAAATGCAATGTTAAAAATTATCCAGAATCCTATTAAAGCTGCAACTGATATCCAATAGTAGTTTTGATTGAAGTTTAACCCCCGTTTTCTCAGAACCAGATGCCCTAGTGTCTCATTTGATGAAACCTGCAAGTGACAATTGCCAGTAAACATTGACTGTAAAAAGTTGACCTGCCTTGATCTGTTGGTTGACCAAAAAATACTACTTGTTTATGTTTCACCTTTTGCCACCTCGGAGACAGAAATTCATTTAGTGAGATTCCTATTTCAGCATATGCCATTGGTGAAATCCAAAAGCCCCATTTGATCCAAGTTGGTAATGATTCTGCAGCAATGAAGGGCTTTATTATATGTGCTTCTCATCTTTAGAATCTCCTGGAGCATATGTCATAAAATTGCCTTACCTAGTGGAATTGCAAAACCGCTGAATAATAATATGACCAGTAAGCTGAAAAGGCCAAATGTTGCTGCAACAGCTGGATTTCGAGCAATGGAAGCAAGCAGGCGGAATAGTGATATTGCAACTTGATGAAGTAGGAAAAGGACAAGGACTTGTTTGAAAAACCTGAAAGGAATTTTATGATTTAGAAAGGATGAAATATATTGTCAATAAAAAAAAGATCTCATTAGGAAGAAAAAACCTCTGTGGTTCAGGACTGTAACCAATCCCATAATATGTCAGAACCGTCCAAAGAAAAGCATCTATCAATGAAAATGGAATCTTCAGAATAGCAGTTGGAATTGAATAAGCCCATGCTGGATAGAAGTATAAATCTCTTTGCTTGTAGAATACTGCGAGTCTGGAAACAGTGAATGACAACTCTGCGATCCCATTGCTCAATAGTCTTACAAGAGCATAAAACAAGGAACCAATGTAGTAGGTCGCATGGACCATATCAACTTGCATTCGGGTGCGTATAAACACTGTTGTGGTTATTAGTGCAATTACAACTAGCTGCATGAAGAAAACATCTCAGGTCTATTAGCAATTTAGCATATTCATTTTCATTATCTGTAACACATTTGTGCAATGTGAATTACTTTGCATGATAGTTTATTACCTGTCCTGATTTGAAGATATGAATGAATGAGTTCCGCTTCATAAGCAACCACTCTCTGGCCATGCATGCTTTGAATAATTCCCATTTTCTCAATGAATAGATGTTAAATGATAGAGCACCTTTGTGGCTTTCGTTTTTATTGAAAGGTATGCAGAGTTCTTCGTCTAGCTTCTGTCCTACATGGAAATCTTTAAAGGCGGCTCTGAACTTGTCAATAGAAACGTAACTATAAGGGCGGTCCTCATGATACCAGTACTGAGCTTGATCCTTCTTTGAAATTACCTGCTCGAAAAATTAAGAGCGGAACATTAGTTGAAGCAAGTGTTAATATATGTCCCACATTGATCAGTAATAACAAGATTAAACTGGGAAACCAACTTCTTGTAGGTAGTCAGCGACGCCCTTACGTGGAGGGCATCTGAAACCACAATGTTCAAAGAACTCTTGAACATTACTGCGTGGTCCATGGTACACAATCTTTCCTTCTGCCATTAAGATAATATCATCGAAAAGATCAAAGGTCTCTGGTGCTGGTTGAAGAAGTGACATTATAACTGTGGCATCTGTTATGTGTGCCATCTGTTGTAGATAGGTAACAATCTGAAAAGTCGTGGAGGTGTCTAAGCCATTTGATATTTCGTCCATCAACAGAGTTTTTGTTGGACCAATTATCATTTCCCCTGTTAGAGATGAACATTATATAGTCAATACAATGGAATAAGTTTCTGATGCTTGGGTTAGTTTACTGGTTATTCAACAACCAGATGCTTAACTAGTAATGCAGTTGTACACAACCTGTAGTAAGCCTTTTCTTTTGACCGCCTGAGATCCCCCTGTTTATGGCATCTCCCACATTTGTATCAGCACAAGTGTCTAGTCCGAGGATCTGGATGGTCAGAAATGGCAGCATAACTATATTAAATAAGTGGAAGATATAAGCTTAATAATGTCATTTTTTTTTTTTAACTTTTATGAAAACTACCTTTAATATATAGTCTGTCTGGAGAGCTCCTTTTGATCCCTTTATTGATGTTGCCTGTTAGCAGATACTATGGTCAGAGATGGTCGCAAAAGGAATTGAACCAAGCTTCCTGCCTTTAGTTAGAGGCAACAAAACTGTTTCTTGCAATCTGATTACCTTCATGTAAGTGTCTATATCTGGATCAGGGATGACTCCCAATTGCTTCTCCCTTCTACTGATTTCTTTCATTGTATCTTAATGCAGGAAACTTCTGAGGTCAGTTTAACAACATAATGAATATCATAATAGGATGCTGAAAAAGAAATCTACCTGTTCTGCTTCCAATACCCTGACAATGTGCGGAAAAGTCAAGTGTCTCCCTTACAGTCATTTCAGAAATGTGCAGGTCGTATTGACTTACATAAGCTGATGTTTTCTGGGGAACAAATTCAGAAAGCCTGTAACCATTGTACGTAATGTCCCCTATAACCTGAAATTTTGTTTAAATCAATACCCTACATTAGTATTTAAAGTTCTAGTTATTGAATCAATAGTACAATTGTGAATTTTTGTTAACAGTATTCCTTTCGGGTTCTGAATTTTTCTATGATTGCAGCTTAAAAGAGTGATAGAACACCTCAAGAGACGGAATGAGGTTCCCTGCAAGTGCCTGCAACAACGTTGTTTTCCCACAGCCTGGAGGACCAAGCAACAGAGTCATCCTACAAGAAAAAGTAGCTCCAAGACTAAACATGATTTGTCATAAGCTATTGTTTTGTATCTTAATGGAAATCAGCTTAGTCTCATGAGTTATAGAGTGCATTGATGCCTTAGATGCACGGATATCTAGCTTTGATGTGAACCTTGAAGGCTTGATGATGCCACTGACATCTTTGAGAATTTTAGTGTTGATTCGTTGCATGTTGCATCTTCCAACGCTTGTCACAGCCTGTTCACCATAAAGTCGCCTTAAATCTTACAATGTATTCTCGTTTCTTGTTAAAACATGTAGCAAACATTAGGAGAAACTAAGTTAAGATTTTAATTTGGTCTCTCTATTTTGGCAAAAAGTTCTTTTTTAGTTTTTTTACTAAAAAAGAGTTTCTTGTTTATCCCTAAAGTTTGAAATATGATGCATTTTTAGTCCTTCTATTAAGTTATGATATTAGATGATGGAAATTTAAGAAAAAAAAAAACCAAAAGAGTCTTTTTTTTCCAAAGTAGAGGACCAAATTAGGGTTATTTTTAACCCATTTTTAGCCTTTTTTGGGTTTCTCTATTTTGAAATTTCTGTCATATAACATTTTATGCATACAAAATTTAACGGAGGGATTAAAAAAAGGATTGATTTCAAATTTTAGAGACTAAAAAAAGATTTTTTTAAATAGAATGACTAAAAATTAAAAAAAGCTTTTTTCTAATGTAGAGAGACCAAAATGAAGATTTAATTGAGAAACTATTTTATTTTTGATCGGCAATAAACTATTCTATTAATTAAAGGTTAAAATACTAATTTAGTCTTTCAACTTTTAAATTTATTATAAAATTGTCCTCAACTTTAATAAAAATCAAAATTATACCTTACATTAATTTTCAATACCAAAAATGTTCTTCTGGTAATAGAAATGCCATAGAATTTGTTATTTTGTCATAAAATTAGTTTTTTAAATATTAATGATGTGTAAAACAAATAGTTATATTTTGCATCATAATATATTTTTATATACAAATTAGATTGATATATATAATAAAAAATTGAAAGACCAAATTGGTATTTATAATCAAAATTTAAAGATTAAATTGATCCTTGTCTTCAAAGTTTAAAGACTAAATAAATATTATCTTTAAAGTTTGAGGATTGTTTTGGTACTAGAAATTAAAGTTTAGGTACAAATTTGGTACCTTCTAAAATCGAGGGACAATTTTGGTGTTTTTTAAATTTGAGGGATAATTTTAGTACATTCTAAAAATTGAGGAACCGAATTGGCAGTTTAACCTTAATTAAACTAATATAATTCTCATTGTCTAGTTTTCCTCAATAAACGTATAGAACTTGTGTGATCTACGAAACTTCTAATCAACGTTACCGAGTTTGGGGCAGACATGGTATCCTTTTTCTTTAATTTTTGAGAAAAATACTCATATATTTAAATTTTTCAAAAGCTGTGTTTAATTAATAAAAAAAATGTTATAGGTTGTTTGAATTGTTTCTCTCAAAACAACTAATATTTGATAATTGATAATTATTAATATTTATAATTTGAAATATTTAATTTATTTAATTAAAACTAATAATTAATAATTATTTTTAATAACCGAAAACAAAAAAATTTTCATTTTGTAGAAAAAAACAATCAATTTGGGTTGAGAAACGATAAAAATATCCTGAAGGAAATCTCGGATGCATGAAGTTCATTGATCCTGTTTGCCTTCTCTCGTCTCGGATTGATATTTTTATATTAAAGTGGACGGTAAAACACTAATCTTTATAAGTTTATATGCCAAAAAAAAAAAAAAAAAACCAGACAAGTCAGAAGGAGCAAGCTACTTACAGAGATGACACTTCTGATGGTGTTCCATAGAGTGGGGAGGGGCTTCCCTTGAACTACTTCACACTCTGCTTCGACACACAGATTGTGGTATCTCACTTCGATTATCGGCAGCTCCAATCCCACCCTAAAACCGGATTAATATCAATGCTTTTGCTATTTAATCAATTATTTGCTTGTAAATAAGAGTTTAGTTTTTACCTTTCCATTCTTTCTTTGAGTTTCTTCAAGAGCCGGAGATTGTCCTCCTCGACTCTGGTTATCAATCTCTCAATGAAAACATGGCGTTCCGGAGCTCCAAGCTTGGCAACGTCTATCACCTCCCTCTCTCTCTCTTCTTTGCCATCCTTCGGAAACAATGACGACCTTATCCGCCGGAAAGTAGGAAGTCTCTCAATGGCCGCCCACTGCAACTCAACTTCGTCATTGTCTTCCTTCATGCTGAAGGAAGAGGCCGCAGCCGAGGCATCAGAAGATTCGTGGTGGAAAGAAGAGCCCATGCTGATCGTCAAAGGTGAGGGCTGAAGTTTATGCATATCAAGAACCGACTCTATATAGATGGGAAAGTGATTTGCAACTCTCTTTTTAAATTATTTTTTGGAAAACCTGTTTGAAACGTAGTCTTTAAACTAATATTTTTAAAAGTCAATTACTGAATTAAAGTTTTTAGTGATATAAATTATATGTGTTAATTTTTAAATTTATTTAAAAATAAAAATAAATTCAATATATTTATTGAATATATAAAATTTAATATTACTAATAAATACATATCAATAAATAATTTTTTTATTAAA